GGTGGCGGCTCCTATCTGGTGGAACGAGCTCCCAGAGGAGATCAGGGCTCTGCGGGACCTAGCACAGTTCCGCAGAGCCTGCAAGACGGAGCTCTTCCGCCAGGCGTTCGAATAGGAGCCGCCACCGCCATGGTACCACCAACGCCATGGCACCATCAACGCACTAGAATTTGGGTACAGGGTAATCTGGAGGTTGAGCACTTGAATGAGATTTCAAGAGATGGCCATCTTGGTTTTCATGCGAGGAGTACTGAATATATTTTTCTATGATTATAACTGGTTTTAAAAATTTTAATGTATGTATTGTTTTATGTTATGTTATGACTTGGCAATATGACCTGTAAGCCGCCCTGAGCCTACGGGGAGGGCAGGATAGAAATACAAATAATAAATAAATAATTAATAAATAAATAAATAAAAGTACAGTCTTTCTCTGCAGTGGGGACCAAAGCAGCTTACATCATTCTCTTTTCCCCATTTTGACTTGCACAACTCTGTGAGGTATGTTAGGCTGAAAGTCTGTGACTGATCTGAAATTACCCACTCAGCTTCCACAGCAAGAACCTGGGTCTAGTAGACCCTGCTCTGAAGCACTAAGTGCTACGCCACACTGGCTGTGGTATTGCCGGGTATCACAAATGAACTCCAGACAACAGATCTCTGTCTCCCCCTGGAGAAAATAACTGTTTTGGAGGGTGGCCTCTACGGCATTCTGTTCAGCTGAGGCTGCTCCCCTCCCTAAACTCTGGCTTCCGTAGACTCCACCACAAAATCTCCAGGAATTTCCCAGCCTGGAGCTGGCAACTCTAGTCAGGACTGGCCTCAATGATTTTTCTCCCAAAGGCCAAGATAGGTGTGGAAAGAGTCTGCTCCCTACCTGTTTTACTGACAGATCCAAGTTTGGATGCCTAGCAACATGCACTGAGGGGGAAATAGGGTTGCCAGCTCTGACAAGGGAAATACCTGGAGATTTGAAGGATGGATCCTGTGAAGGGCACTGTTTGGGGAGGGGGAGGACTCAGCAGGGTATAATGCCATGGGGTCTACCCTCCAAAGCAGCCATTTTCTCCAGGGGAACTGATCTCTGTCATCTGGAGATCAATTGTAACAGCGGGAAATCTCCAGGTCCCACTTGGAGATTGGCAACCGAAGGGGAAAGTCAGTTGCACAACAGGAGGCTGAAGAGAATGGTTTGACGGCGGCTGGCCCACCTCAGTAGCCAGTCAGCCATTGATGAGCCAAGCAGGAGAGTCAGCTGTTTTGGCAGTTTATTCTGTGAGGGAAGAGTGTCCAGGCTGACAGTGGGTGGGAGAGTGGAGCGGACCCAGCACCCAGCCAATGGCATGTGAATACTCTTGAGTGGTGGTCGATGGGCCAATGGCTGATGGAGCTCACTAGAGAGCTGGAAATGGCCAATGTGTTAGAGGAATTATATATATAGGATGCCCCTAAGAATAGTGTTGCTGACCCCAAAAAATGATTCAGATTATTTGTGCTGTAATGATCGATGGGCCAATGGCTAATGGAGCTCACTAGAGAGCTGGAAATGGCCAATGTGTTAGAGGAATTATATATATAGGATGCCCCTAAGAATAGTGTTGCTGACCCCAAAAAATGATTCAGATTATTTGTGCTGTAATGAGGGCTGATTGACATATAATAAACATCGTGAATCCCAATCGGGACTTTCTATAGGCCTAGTCTGGAAGTTCCCAGCTGTGAACTTAATTCATAGGCACACATAGACCTTTTGATGTTTATGAAAGAACTTTAGCCTTCCCCCTCCCAGGCCATTTTTCCAGCCTTAGATGGCCCAGGAGACCTGCAATTTGCCCAATGGGGAACTTACACGAACTGATGGCTTCATGTAAGTTTCCCCAATGGGGCAAAAAGAAGCTCTCTGGACCTCTCGGGTTGGGAAAATGGTGCTGGACAAATGCCGATCAGTTGCTTCTTCCAGAAGCGGTCCTCTGCATAGAACTGCACTGAAAGCAGGGTTGCCAATCTCCAGGTGGGGTCCGGAGATCTCCCACTATTACAACTGATCTCCAGACAATAGGGACCAGTTCCCCTGAAGAAAATGGCTGCTTTGGAGGGGAATTCTATGGCATTGGACCTTGCTGAAGTCCCTCCCCTCCCCTCCCCATACCCTGCCCTCCTCAGACTCCACCCCCCCCCAAATCTTCAGGTATTTTCTAACCCAAATCTGGCAACCGTAACTTAAAGTATACTAACCTTTTCTACCATGCGATTATTTTTGGGGTTGCGTTCTTTGGAAGCTTTGTGGTTTCATAGTGGAAATTTATATCACTGTAATGATGATGTTATTTGGCCTGAGGTCATGACTATAAGCCAACTTGGGCTAAAGAGAAAAAGTGGTCTGTAAAGTTTTTACATCAATCAGGATTGGCTACATTAGGGGTGTGTGGCCTAACATGCAAAGGAGTTCCTGCTACAAAAAAAGCCCTGGGTTTTGACCACAAACAAGGTCAACAGAATAAGAAGCAAAAGGTGGGCGTGGCTGGATGACCACACTTCTGGTAACATGGGTGTGTGGCCTAATATGTTAATGAGCTGTGCTGCCAGGGCTGTAGTCTAATATGCTAATGAGTTTTTGATGTTGGGTGTGGCCTATTATGCTAATGAGTTCCTGCTGGGCTTTTTCTACACAAAAAAAGCCCTGCCTTCAGGTCTATTCTGATGTCACAAGCAAACCACAATTTAGATGACTTCTTAAACTATGTAGTTACAGGTCAGTGTGTGAGGGGAGGAAAAGTTTGAGCCTGAGGATTTGAGACTTGCTTGTTTGGTGACATCCGTGGTTGGTTAGTTTGGCATCTGAATACAGATTTTGACTTTCCGTCTTCTGACATTTAGATTGTACAGTCTCCAAGGCATGGACCTGTCATTTTCATCATAACCCACTCTGAAGTCCATGTGCACAGATGGCACTGTAGTGATAAAAAAAAAATGTAATTGGTCATGATCTAGTAAACGAGTCGGGGTTCCCAACCTCCAGATGGGATCTGGCATTCTCCCAGAACTACAACAGATCTCCAGATTACAGAAACTAGTTCCTTTGAAGGAAATAGCAGCTTTGGAGGGTGGGAGGGGTGCCCTCCCATCCCCGCTGAGCTCCTCCCCCCAAACTCTGCCCCCATCAGGCACTGTCCCCAAATCTCCAGGAATTTACTAAGCCAGAACTGGCAACTGTGAAACTTATTCATAGTATTGTTGGCCATTACTATTACACTTACCAGAAAACAACAGGCTCCCTGAACATTGCTGTAGTAAAATTAGCCTAAGTAATTTGCAAGCTCCCATGAACATTCCAATAATGTTTATTATGAACCAAAGAAAGGTCCTTTCAAGATAATAATTTGAGACACTGGCCACCCAAGACTGAGAAGCAGGTTTTTCACAGAGAAGACCATCTGGTCCCAGTTGCAGAAAACAATAGAGTTGGTTATGGGGTCATGGCCTCCCTTGTGTTAATATGCATTGGAAAGGATGGAGGAAGGGAATGAGTAGTGGGAGTCTTTCAGACACAGGGAGAGGAGTTTCTCCTTGGAAGTCCAGAATTGTGTGGTGCCACACACAAAGCTAACCCCACAGGGTTTGAAAAGCCCAAGTCTCTGCACATTCCCTTTGGTTGTTGTTATGCTTTCTTAAGAGCAATCATTGTCTTTTGAGTAATTGCGTGGTTTTTTGAAAATTGGCCAGTGTACCAAAATGTGCATTTAGCGCTACGTTTAACAGCTCTGTAGGAGCCATGTGGTCTGCTGGGAAAACAATGTTCAAGTCCAAAGTACATAGAATTTGCATCAGAATGTATGCAAAGCATATTGTCCAAGGCCCTCACGAGTCACTGGCAAACTGAATCTGAATTCTGTGGCAAGGTCCTTGGAAGCTAAGATGGCTCTAAGTCAGCAAAGTAGACGTTATGTCGTTATTTCATTTAAAGGGTAATAATTGCCCAACTGGGACAAGCTGGACAATTGGTTTCTACAAGAAAGGCATTCAGGCCATCTGGTACTTTGGAGAAATAGTAAATGCAGTTTAATTTTAAGGCACGAATATCTGAGCAGTACAACTTGATATCGGTTTGACCGTTTGCTAAATGAAAGTGTAGACTTCAAAGAAGGACTCTCTGGCTGGACGAGGGATTGAGAAGTATATTTGGTGTGTATTTGTAAAGCATCCTTGGGGAAAGGGGGTTAATTTGGGCCATGGTGAAGGGAGAGGGTTGTTCTTTTAAAGCACTTCTCCCTGTGCTGTTTACTCACTGCTACTTTTGCCATCCCAAAGTGGCTGCTTTACCAGGGAAACACCAGCTACACATAATGTTGGGGATCTGTGGTCCAATATCCTGGTGTATGAGTAGTTTATTAGCCTTAAGTAGCAGTCTGTGTGAATAAGGGTAGTAGGGCTGGGGAAGGGGGATTAGCTCTGCATCATCACTCCAACCGAAGCCACCTCTCAGTCTGCCTTTATGTCTTCTCTGTGTTCCCCACCAGGGGTAAGGAGGCCTCCTTCTGCTTTTCTTCTAAGGAGTTCAGAGTGGTGTCCATGGTCATTTGTTCCTGTTTTGTCCTTACTACAGCCCTGTTGAGTAGTGTTATTTCCCCATTCTGGGGTTACTTTTAATCCAGGTAGTGGAAAAAACAAGGGTACAGGATCACAGATTCCCGATGTAATGTGTAGCTTGGCCCTCATACGACTGGTGGTTTAAGCTTTATGTTCCAAAATGAGAGAGAGCAAATTCATTTTGTTAACATGCCCTTGAAGTCAGTGATGGTCCCAATTATGCAACATCTTATTGAAAGAAATTAAAATAAACGTGGTGATCAGTACAAAAGTAGCAGCAGTTCTTTAATGTGAGTGAGCTGGGCAACCCCACAGGGTTGAAACTGAACCAGGGAGTTGGACCCAATGGTCTTTTCTTCTAGGAGGGGAGAATTCATTCCGTGAGCTCAAGAGAAATTTTTGATCCAACCCCAATGTATTCTGAGCTAGAAATAAAGCTATAGATTAGGTGACATCTTTCATGTTGGATGGAAGCCCTACGTATTTGTAGTATTGATGACCAATATTTCAAAAATGTTTCTATCGAGCCTCTGAGATTGTATGTGTATGCAGTTGCATGCATGCACACACACGCACATGGTGCAACCCTAAGAACACTTTCCTGGGAGTAAGCCCCTTTGAATAGACCTGCTCAGGACTGCTCACACACAAAATAGGCCTTTGATACAGCCTTTGGCTTAACATTTGCATAATACATAAGTGGGACTTTGAATATGGAAATAAAATTTGCATGTCAAGAGACGGTGTTGAAACATGGTATGTGCAGAAGAGGAGCACAGGAAGGTGGGTATCTGGGCTGCCTGACCTCAGAGCTGACACATGGACATAGCCATCAATTTCAATTACACTTCCTTCCTCCTAAGTAAATGAGCCACAGTATAAAACAAACAGGGACTGCAGCCAGTGGAAATTAAAATATCTCTTTTCTTTTACAGGGACCTTTGCTTTAACTTCCTTGATATCTGCAAATGCTGTTGAGCGTCTTGTGCCTCCAATGAACAGTAGTTTTACAACAAGCAATCACTCCGTGGTGTTGGGTCTATCTGATTTTGAAATGCAGAGGATTGGAGTCGCAGCAGCAGTTTCATTATTGGGAGGCCTCATTCAAGTAGGTATTCCCAAACAGCCAATAAGTAAATGTAGGTGCATATTGCTTTGGACTTCACACCTTGAGCTTCCTCTATTGTCCCAGTTTCCAGGAGGAGCAATACTGGCTTGTGAAGGAGCTATGGTATGATATTCTGACTCACCTGATATGGCCTAAGCAGCACGGGAAAGGGCCGTGTGACAGCATCTTTAATACTACAAAGGCAAGGTTGGAAGAGGTCTTTAGGCAGCAGAGTTCTACATGAAATTTAAAAATAAAAACATGGTGCATTTCATGATGGGCTCTAGTCCTTGCCAAAGCTCCTCAGTCTCAGCTCGTCAATACTGAGCCCTACTAAATGAAAGTGACCTTTTTCTATGAAGGTTTTGGTTCAGCCTCTGGAAAACCGGGTTTTTCATTACTTGATTTCACAGATTCTGTCTTCCACCAGCGGGGCTACACATAAAAACCAGTGTTCCCTCTAAGCTGAGTTCGTGTGAGCTAGCTCGCAGTTTTTTAGCCTCCGGCTCATGCATTTCTGTCTCTGCTCAGGAAGGAGGGCTCCAGAGCAAACTAATCTATGCAGCGGCCAAATCGCTCGCTCACAACTTTAATGCCAGTAGCTCACAAAGTAGAATTTTTGCTCACGAGACTCCACGGCTTAGAGGGAACATTGGTACAAACTGGGAGTTGATTCAAACAAACTGGGGGTTGATTCAAATAATGCCCTAACCAGGTAGAGGCTACCCCCTCCCCCAAATCCTACTATACATTTAGGCATGGGTTGCCATCTGCAGGTTGGAAAATACCTGGAGATTTTGGGGGTGGAGTCTGAGGAGGGCAGGGTATGGGGAGGGGAAGAATTTTAATGGGGTCTAAGGCCATAGAGTTCCCCTTCCAAAGTGGCCATTTTTTTTACAGGTGAAGTGATCTCTGTTGTCTGGAGATCAGCTGTAATCCCAGAACATCTCCAGCACCACCTGGAGTTTGAACTTCGTAAGGAAAAACAGCCGTGAGAAGATAACTTTTTTCCTCGTCTGATGAAACCTTGAGTGAAACCGTCTGTTGAACGCTGTACCGTCAGAAAAACTTGGGATCAATTTACTTCAAAGGAAACACCTTTAATGATGTGTCACTCACTGGATGATTAAAGAAGATATATATTTTTCCTAAGAAGGTTTCGTTATCTTATCACGGTCGTTTTTCCTTACTAAGTTCAGCCTGTCCCGTGATCTCCCGTCCTTGACTGACACCACCTGAAGTTTGGTAACCCTATGCTAAATCCAACTCCACTGTATGTGCCCTGCAAGATATGATAGCCATCTTCATGGAGATCTGCCACAAAGATGCAGTTATGGTATAATCCCTGTATTCCAGTTGAGGACTTCTTGTTGACACCTTCTGGTTGTTCCCCAGTTTAAGGCTGCCCATTTGGCATCTACTGGATCCTAGTCCTTTCCAATAGTGGCTTCCACCTTGTGGTATGGGCTTCCTGAGAAGGTGATGGTGTGTGTGTGTGTGAACTTTGGAAATCATAGGAGTCACCGTAAGGCTATTTTGTTTGCCAGGGCTTTAAATTGTATTTGAGATGAAGGCATTTTCTTGAGAGGGATGATTATGAGGGTTTTTTATTTCTAATATATCAGTATTTTAATAAATAATACTTAAATACAGAGGTCGATTCTGGGGGGAAGCGGGGGATCGCCGTTCCCCGGGTGAGGTGTGTGTGGGCACACGACGAAGCCCCACCCCCTGCTTCCAGCTGCCTCGCTTCCAGCCCTCATTCAGCCAGGAGGAGGCAGGAGAAGAGGGAGGGTAAGTTGCTTCCTCCCCGCCTCTCCCCACCCCTGCCTGCCTGGGGCCAGGGAGGGCCTTCGCGGGGCTCGGCAGTGGAGTTGCAAGGCTGGCGGCTGGTACCGTTGGGGGCAGGGGGCCTTTGCGGGGCTTCCTCGCACTCCCGCCGGCCTTGCAGGTCCACCACTGTGCCCCTCATGGGGCTCGGTAGTGGAGCCGCAAGGTCGTCGTCGGCAGCCAGGATCGTTGGGAGTGGGGGGCCTTTGCGGGGCTTCCTCGCACTCCCGCTGTGGCAGCCGGGACTGTTGGGGGCGCGGGGGCCCTTCACGGGACTTCCTCGCCAGGGCTCGAATCGGGGCACCGGGGGTGGAGTGGGCACATGGCAAAGCCCCGCCCCCTTCTTCCGGCCGCCCCCTGCTTCCAGCCTCATTCTGTTGCAGAAGGAGGAAGAAGCAGGAGGGTAAGTTGGCATCCTCCCTCTCTGCCTGGCCGAGGCCACTCCACGTGGCCTCCGCAAGGACTCCCAGCCCCATCCAGGAGCTTCCCCGAGGTAGCTGTGTTAGTCTGTTGCTGCAAAATAGTCCAAGAGTTCAAATAGCTCCTTTAAGACTAACAAATAGCACCTTTAAGACTAACCTTTAAAACTAAGACTAACTGAGTGGTGGGTGTGGCCTTATGACACACTTCCTGTGATGTCAGGGGGTGTGACATATGTTAATGAGTTATGCTAATGAGTTCCCCTAGCTCTTTTTCTACGAAACGACCCCTGCTTAAATATAAATTAAAATAAAATGGTGACTGATATCGGCAGCATTTGAATTAATCCAGAATGAAAATTTTGCAAAACCGCTTCTTTCCTATTCATCTCCCCAAGTGAAAAATTGGTGAGAAATTGCATTGTGGCTACTTCCAGGGCATAAAAGAGAACATTAGGGTTTCACAGCATCCATGCACACCTGTGTCCTCCTCATTTAGAAGGCTGCTGATAGGCTCAGTGCAGAGATTTTCCTGGCACTGCTTGTCCCTACTTTACCATATATGTCCCAATTTTTATTTCACATGCAGTTTGGAAAGTTTAATACAGAAAATTGATTTTGTTCCTCCTTTGATCTAAATTTGCCAGTTACAGACATATCTTTAACTTCTTGGCCTGAATTGATGAGAATAACTCCAGAATTTTTCTGCCGTTCATTGACTTAGATCCAGCCAGGGCTTTTTTTTTCTGGGGGAATGCGTCCGAACAGAGTTCTGAAACCTCTCTGACAATTTTTTTGTTTTTTAAGTTCGTGAGTTTTCAGTATACAGATTGAAAACTTCATTTCCCTCTTGAGAGTTCCATTACCTCTTTTTAAAAAAAATCCCTGGATCCAGCCAACCATCAATGAATTTCTGGAACATCCTTCTCCCTTCAGTTGTTCCTTTTGACTCTCAAAAAGATAATTGCTGGAAATGTGGGACCCATTTGGACAAAGCCATGTGGATTGGGTGGAGATGTGTGTAGTTGAGAAGGGTAGGGGAGCAAAATGTGCCCTTTCTCCCTCTTCCACAAACCAGTTCTACTTGGGAAAAAGAGGCAATTTAACCCTCTTTTCTCAATGATTTGTGTAGCTATTAGTACACGTGGGTGCTTTTAACAGAAATAATGTTTCTGGGATAAAAAAAAATGACTACTGAGTGGAGAAGAACATGAGACAGTCACTAGACCAAAGCCAATACTCTTTGCTGCATATTTCTGCAGGCAGAATTTAATCTTCATCACTTTCTCAGTGTTTTGACTGCACCAATAGGGAATACTGAATTTTTCTCAGAGGCACAACTAGCTTTGCTTTCCACATTGAGCATGCAGAGACATGATGGAAAATGAAGTCACAAAGATGCTAAAGATTGCTGTTTCCAAATCATGTATGCCACCACTCAGAAATTTAAAAGCAAGTACCCGCATTACCACAGTACGCCACATCTCCCCTTTTGCCTCAAAACTCCTTCAGTTGCTTCTCAGAATACTCAAAGGACTGCTTCCACCCTGTATATTTCTCTGTGTGCTCTTATGACATCTGAAGGAGCCCTGCTACGGAAACCTTCATTGTTGTGGGTGTGTCTGGCAGGGACTTCTGTGAAAATCTTCTTGGCAACCACCACAGATTGTGGAACCCTTCTCCAGGAGCTCCCTCATGCCCGCCCCCCCCCCCGGCTTTCCAGCAGACTGTAAAAACATAGGTGTTCCTGAAGGCCTAAAACAAGATTTTATTTCATCTCTGGGTTTTATTCTGCTTTAACCTCTGTTTGAATGAATTTGTATAATTTAATGGATTGTATTGTTTTAAATGCGCTTTAACTTCTTAGACGTGTTTTTTATACAGAGAACAGTGGAATCTAAATTACTAAACAAATGAATAAAACTAACCAGTGGTAGCCAAAGGAAGAAATGCAGTAGCATCTCTTTTATGTTCACGGCCCCTTTGTTCTAGTTCTAGTCCTTATGGTGTGCCCACACAGGAGATTTCTGTCATAGGATCACAACTGTAGGGCAAGACGAGATGTGCTAATTTCCGAAGCTGAGGGCCAAACTAGATGTTACAGGATGGAGTGACATACATTTCAACTCACGCAAGTTTGTGCTACCAGAATTATTGGTGGACTTTAATTGGCTAGACTGGAGGCCCATCTTATAGAATAATAATAAACAAATACAGAAGTATTTAGGAAACAACATCTGGCCTTATAGTGTATATGTATTTAACATCTTATGTAAAAAATTTTTTTGAATGTATGTCAAATTTGTAATTGGAATTGTGACCACTGAGGAAGGCCCTTTGAGGGGCCGAAACGCGTTTGGTTCAGTTGCACAGCACTAACCCATCTATGTATGAATGTTGAGAAGTTTTTTATGTCTGAATGGTATATTTTTAATGAATCAAAGTTTTAAAATGTGTACACCTGAATAAATTTTGTATTTTCATAATATTTAGTGTCAGCTTAACCCTTGTGGATCCATAACAGTTTTTGAAGCACCCTTTCCTGACCTGAAACAGTGGTGGTGGTGGGGGGAGTTATTTCTCCTTTTTGGCTGTTCCACGTGCCATATTCCATGCACATGGAATGACCAAAATGAGGGAAATAACTGCCCTCAGCTTTGTTTCTGGTCAGGAAAAGGCATGGAGAGGAAGACAGGAGCCCCTCCTTCCCCTCTCCTCACACTCAGCTCAGTTAGTGTCTCCTTTATTTTT